TCCTGTCCATGTTTACCGTTTTAGGTAAGCCTGCATCAAGCATTCTGGTAGCAGCAGTTGCTATAAGACTATGGTTAGATTTGCCATCTGAACATATACCTGCCTCTTTACACATATTCTTTAAGAGTTCCTTCAAGGTGTTGTGCCCAATGGCCCTTGCATAAAACCACAGCTTATCTTTACTCTGTGAAGTCGATCCAGTGGCCGATGGTAGAATGTATCTGCATCTGGAAAATCCAGTTCAAAAGTAGAGCATTTAGACAAGAATAAAACGAGCAATAAAACGAAACACCTCACACCCAATTTAGCATTAGCAAAGTGATGCACAACTTTATTAGCTTGCCTCTTTTTCAGTTGCTTTAGACCACCATCGTCATTTTTGCTTCCATGCTCTGTGTAAACCATAGCAGACTGTGATTTTCCCTGGGTTCTTAGAATCAGGAACTTCCAATCGCTAAAACTGTGATACTTTAAGACTCCTCACCACCACAAAGGCACAAATTGAGTCCAAAGTAAAAGAAAATGGCATGAAGGAGCTGTCTAGGATTATCAATCCCCATTACACCACTTACCCAAAGCTGCTTCTCTTCTTCAGCATTAACTAAGTCACTGTTATGAGGCCTTGTTCTGATTCCTTCTTCATGCAGCTGTCAAAAGTAAGAATCCATGACATTGTGATGTGGAATGAAGTTGGGATCCTTATCATCTAAAATCTTGAATGCATTGGCTTTCTCTCCATGCATGTATCGAAGTAGGCCAGAAAGAATGTTCAAAATAGATCTTGGTGAGTATTTCTCGCCATTTTCCTTTCTTGTTTCCATAATGTAGCGGCAGAGGCAAGAACACAGTAGTTTAGGATCATTGGAGAGTAGTATATCAGGAGGATACTGTTTCTGGCTCTCACCATTATTTAGAGAAGCGAGCCATGAGTTCAAGTTATTCAAAGCCCAATTATTACATTGGCATGTACTGTTTGGAACATAACCTTTCTTGGCTTCAGAAACTTCTGACTCAGACCCCTTTTTGAAGCGCTTCTTTAATGATAGAGACAAACGTTTCTTATTCTTTGGAGGCTCATCTTCAGCAGTGTCTTCCACACAGTCTTCCTCTATTGTCTATTGTCTATTGTCTGATACACCATGTGCTCTCTGCTCTA